TAGTGGTCAAACTTCTTTTTACGAACGCCATCGAAAGTTCTTTTTACTCTTCTTCGAAATTACTACTATCAATATTTTTGTTTTCTTCCTGCTCAGTTAATTCCTTGATTTTTTGAGTTCAACACAACTACACAGTTTCAGATTTGTTATATATATTTTTGCGCACAATTTCGGGGAATCCCTGGGTTAAAATAAAAGAGCTCTAAACCGAAACAGCGCTAAACGAAACAGCGTTAAGCGGGGTCTTACTGTAATCAGGTTAGAATGTCCGAAGAGGAACTTTATTGTGAACAACATTTTACTGAAAACCATCAACACCGTCAGAATGGCCAATTTATCGTCAGTATTCTATTTAAAGATAACGTATTTGACCTAGGTGAATCACGAATACAAGCGTTGAAACATTTTTTATCTCTAAAGCGTAAATTAAATCACAATATGGAATTACAGAGTATATTAAGTTTTTAGAAAAGAATGAGAGGTTAGGTCACATGACCAAAATAAATGAGCACAAGTTACATGTTTTTATTTGCCCCATCATGCCGTTGTTAAGGTATCAAGTATTACAACAAAGTTACATGTCGTATTTGATGCATAGGCAAAATCAGATACGGGGTTATCATTAAATGATGTTCAACATACGAGTCCTAATATTCACCATGATTTTGTGCAGTAGTGAGATAAAAATTATCCGGAGACCACTCGGAAGTTGCATTTCTGAACTCCCGTTCTACTAGAATGTTATTAAAATAAAACTAGTAGTGAATTTGATTGATGTGTTTAATGAGAAGGTTTCCTATATACTAACTAACAACATTAAATTTACTTAAAACTAGAGAACAACTAAGAAAGGGAGTGGAGTCTAAATGAAACATAACGTAGTGGTGGATGAATGTAGGAATTTTCTGAATGTTGTCATATACGAGAGGTTTTTGAGTTCAACTAGATACAGGAAAGTTCTTAAAGCAACTATGAAAGAGCTAACAATGAGCCAGGTATTAGTGACAGAAAAACCTCATTTATGCTACCAGGAATTATTGAATTCATCACGTACATTTTGTCTGTATGACAAATAGAATATTCACGAAATATTGTAAAACCAAATAATAAAAGAAAAAAATTTATGACTTAAATGTTTGAAGAAATGTTATAAAGTTGAATTTAACAAAGGAACAAAGAAATTGAAAATATAATGAAAGTAATTAACAACACTAAATCTAACTAAATGGGAAAGTTTTCGAATTAAAATAATTGTAAAATATATAGATAATTATTAGCACTAAACAATATTCAAACTATATTATTGCTCTTCCAGAACCATTAATATGCAATTACCGTGGATATTGCCAAAACGTACAGACTATTATCCGAAACCCAACGCAATTTACAACTTATATTATTTTAGCTACACGGTGTTTAAAACAAGTCGCGATCCCAGCTCGCGCAGAATACCCAAACGCGGTTCGGATAATAAAACAGGACTTCTACATGGATGAATTGATAACAGGGTATTCTTCGGAAACGAACGCGATAGAGTTATATCACGATATCTCAAAATTATTATAAAGAGTAGGGTTATCGTTACGTCAGTGGTCGTCAGATAATATAAATAAAGCGTCTGATCCGCAAGAATTGCTTGTAAAAAGATATGAAAATGGTTATAACAATAAAACAGTAGAGTAGAGTAGTAAAAGGAACAATTTTAGCGCCGTTAAAAGCTATAACACTACCACGTCTCTAGTTATTACTGTTGACGCAATTACTGGTAAGATTCAACTATCGTGCTGAATTGGATCAATTTTGCCCCTAATAGGTGGAAGACAATCGTGGCTAATCGAGCAGGGGAGATTCAAGGCTTGACTAATAAATCAGATTGGCGCCACGTTGCGTCAAAGGATAACCATCTGGATTTACTATCGCGCGGACTGGAACAGCAACATCTAAAAAACGGCAACAAGAATGGTTGCAGTGAAACTCGAATACATGGCCAGTATCTAATATCATTCACGAACATTCATTAGAGCAAAAAATTACTCTTTTTGTAACGAAACAAGAAGATTGTTTTCACTCATTTGCGAAATTTACAAATGACAAGAAAACAGATATTTTAACCGCTACAGAACTAAATCAGACTTTGCAATTCCTAACTCGCAATGCTCAAACCACTTGTTTCAATAGAAATAAAGGATGTACTGAAAGATAAACCAGTAAGTAGAAAAAGTAAATAAAAAAGTACATTATTAAATTTAAAACCCTTTAATTGATGATAAAGACATGGTTCGGGTAAAAAACATTGCTAGACAAGACAGAATTTTAAATAAGGTATTACGTGCGATTCTGTAACTTTATGAAATCGAATAGAAATATACTACTGCATCGGCCAGCGTCGATTTTCGGTATTCCGTAATTGAAGTAGAAGATGCAGCAATCGAAATTTATAATCTCTTCAAGACCATAAATAAAATAGGCGACAACAATGCATTTGTCGGGCAAATTTAGGCTTTAATGACTAGGTGATAGGTGGGAATAAGGAGCAGATTCTTGCAAAGTTGGGGTGGAAGCAGAAAAAGGGTCCGTGGTGCTACAAAAAGAAGTAGTAAATGATGAAGTAGAAATTCTAGAACAGAACCCAAATAAAACTGGATTTATTAGAACAAAAAAATTGAAAATTGAATTATGCAGGTTCACTCGTGCGACATTACAAGAAATTCCGACAAAGAAATTTGTAGAACACTTGTGGGTTATTGGCAAGATTAAAATTAAATGAATAAACATACATATTTATAAAAAAACAAAACATTATTTCGGCCAGGAGTAGAGCCGGTCTTACCGTTAGACCACAGCTTGCAAAAGCGAGTGTTTCACATCTTAACCAAAACATATAAATGTTTGAAATCGATTAGAAGTGTCGGGGTAGAATCTAAATTGTATCGAATCGGTATTGCGTAACTCCTCAGATCGAAATATGACATTCCGACTGCATGGAGGATGTCGAAACCGTTGCGGATCGTAGAAATCTTCATTCGCACATACGCCCGCTCATAAGTAATCTATGCGCCCATTAGTTTTCTAGTAATAATAGAAGCGAAGTGAAAACGGTGAAGAGTTAACTACAAAACAAGAATAATTTAAATACAAATATTGATGTAAGTCGGAGAAGAAGCTGCGCGCGAAATACAAAGGTAAATAGCCTCCAAGGAAGCAATCAAGTTCAGTAATAGCTAAGTTTTGTTTCGGCAACTAGATAACATAAAATTATTAAAATTGAGATGGACAACAATAACGAGATGATTAACCTTCAACAAAACAAACGTAAATGTAATTTATTCATCTGTTTTAATGAATAACCAATGACATTTAATTTTAGTACAGGAAAACGAAAATTTACATGCAATTAAAAGACGAGTAAGAGATCAGTTAATTAGAAACAGTTTTAATTAAGAATGAAATATATATATCTGTTAATTATATAAAATTACTACTTACAAATACATTTTAAACATTGTGTACATACTTAAGCAGTAATGTTTGTTTATGTATATTTACATACCCATAATTTTTATTATTTTCCTAATGTATCTAATTATTATCCTAAATTAAATTGCTACAACTGTATATTCAATTTTTTTGTTCTAATAAATCCAATTCTTTTTGACTTCCGTTCTGAAATTTCTACTTCATCGTTTACTACCTACTTCTTTTTATTATACCACAAACCCCTTCGCTGCTTCCACCCAACTTCGCAAGCATCTACTATACTATATCTAAGTTAAAAAATAATATTTAGGGGTTTCTGTGAACTTATAGTATAAAGATGGATAATGGCATATTATTGAAGTAGTAATGGCAAAAAAAGAAGACTTTAGCATTGGTCATTGGTACAAAACATGACGTTATAAATACCTGACTAAAAAGAAACTGCCTGTAATCAACAAAACTTAAGAGGCACAAATTAAGTGACGTTTTGATTATTAAACCAACGTTTGAATCTTTACTCAAACAGACCCGGTGGGGTCTGGTTAAGGTTACAAAAAATTTAATCGTACTAAAATGCGTACATCATAAAGGTATTTGAAGTTCCACATTCCTGCAATAAAAGAAAGGTCATGACCACGACAACACTCATTTCGTCTGTGTTGTTTCTACCCACAGTAGCCTTGTAATATAAGGATAGATTAATCCAACTTTAACCGAAAAATTCTTTTATGTGACTGTTTTTTTTTTGTTTATAGGAATATGAACCACAAAATATCTCTTTAAGCGAAAAGTACGTATCCAAATTATTAAAGTAATATCCATACCCCACGAAATAGGCAAACAAATTTAAGTAAAATAACTGCCTGTCACATAATATCGGCGTCTGCTGCTTATTTTATGAATTAAGTAAAATTGTCGAATACATGCAATAGAAATTATACGTATTTTGCGTAAAATACTATTACATAACATTGTTTTCAAAGCAACGGTAAGTTAGAGTGTCGAATACTTTCACCTTTAATTTATATAAACATGTAACACCAGGCCATTAATTACGCGTCTCCCTCTCTCTTATTATAAATCGGTCACAATGGATAGAAAAAAGTAATAAAATCAAATACAAAAAATTACCTATAATATATAAATACATCGCCTAAAGAAACAATAATATAAGTTTCGAACCGCTGCGATATATAGCAGTATTTTTTTAGTCAACCTAAACGACCTTCTATATCTAGGAAAAAAATTACAAGACAAAAGTTTACTATTATACGACTTGCAGACATTAAAATCATTAGGGGTATCTGTATTGTTTGAATAAAAGATTTCCGTAACCTAAATAACAAACATAAAAACGAAAGAATGTCGAAATCATGCAATTTCGTATATGTTGAATAATATAAGCAGATGTTTATTTTTAATCGACTTTAAAATAGGAATGAAGTTCTTAATTATTCGACAAGTAGGAATCTAACTCCTTTTTCTCACAGATTACGACCAAGAAACAAGATATTTCAACTCACCAAAAATCTACCGAACAGGTTTCGAATTGGAAGACGTCTACCCCAGCACCTTCCATTAGAGCTGGTGCTCACTCTCATATCTTCACAAGAATCCACAGAAAAACTTGGTGCGGCACATTAGGTGGACTCTAACGTACCTACATTACTTCTAATAAAAATTCAAATTAACCACTGGCCAATATTGATATTTTAACATAATTATTCTCCACACGTCTTTAAATGAATTTGTAAATAAATAATATTTAATGCATGTATTTACATAAGAATTGTAAATGGATATGAACAGTAATTCGGCTTTAACATTAACTCTATTTTTATCGTATACAGATGCACCAGCAGCTGAAAAAAAACCGAAATTTGCAAATACCGAATATCCACATTCTGCCATAAAGTGAAAAGGAAAAAGAACAAAACTACTAATAATAAGCCAATTCACATTTCGCTGCTGAAAGACTAAACTTTTGTAATCTATCAATTATTAACGCACCAACAAAATAAAAACACCTACACACTCAAACCACTTCAACATGCAAAACGAAACAACACATTATTTTTTCGGATCACGGCAAAAACTATATATTCTTAATATCCATATGGATTAATGAAAACAAGAAAACAATGCGAACATACATATATATTACAAAGAGAGAGCGTTACATCAAACCCGAACCCGGAAATGTTAACTTCAGTAACTAACCAGCGATGAGTCAACTCAACAACTCAATCATCAACGAGAAAACGAAACATCATTCCTGTCGACCACCTGTAAAAGCAGTGATAGTTGCCGAAGAACACATGTGTATATTTAACATTTGTTGCTTGCGACGGTGGCAACGGTAAATGTTAATATTGTTGTTGTCGTTGTTGCTACATGGTTATCTATCGTAGTTACGGTCAAAATATTGACGCCCGCGTTTAATTTCACGTTCTACCCGTTTAAAACAAGACATACCGAACATCTTCGAACTAAAGATTAGAATGACGTCTGATTCTGAATTTCTAAATCTGACTGACTATTGTGAGATCTGAGAACGGACACATTCGATATGAAAAAGAAGGGGCAGGCAGTAGGTAGACCTGTTTTTGCAAACGATGCAAAAGAAGGTGGACTGCTGCGCTATGTTGATGTCGTTTTGTTGGGGAATTTTACTATTTTATATCAGTAGCGCAGCTACCATATGGCGGGGCAGTGCAGTATACCGGGGCTTAGTGTTCAGGGGATTGTTGTCGCCCCGGCAAAAGCAGTGATGATGAACAGAAATTTTCATTACGCATTTCGTACATTGCAATGCATACAAGCAAGCTATTGTGATCGCAAGTTGAAATAAACATGTACACTATATGATTATACTTATTTTTTAGGTGATCTAAGAAACAAAATTTTTGTATACCTATTTCTTTTGTTTAATTGGGGCCCTAAAATATTTTGCATCCAAACCCCTCATTATCTAGTTACATTACTCCTCCCTCTTTTACTTTACTTCGTTAAACTTTCCGTTTCATCTTCTAGATTTACCACATAAGCGTCTAAGGACACAGATTCCACACTTCCGCATGCGCGGAGTCGGACAGTGATGGACAAATAAAAATTAATGCATTCGTCTCATTTATTATAAATGCGTTTTATTAGACTTCATGATAGTAAAAAATACATGGCAACGAAAACACCCACTTTTAAGTGTTTACGTTCCTTACCGTAATCTTACAATCCTAAGCAATCAAATAGTAAAGGCCTAGACGGTAAAAATGGAAAAAAAAACTAGGACAGCCAAGACTTAGACTTAACCTATCAAAGCATACTAATTATATGTATACATAAATTAAGAAAAAAATTATTACATCGGGAGTATCTCGTCGTACCCAGACCATTAAAGTGTACGGAGCAGGAGTCGCGAAGCGAAGTGGAATCCGTGTCGCTAGTCGTTCAACAGGCAACTACAGTTAACGTACGACTTTAATTGTATATATACATATAGCTCGACTAGAGATACAGTGTGGATATGATATGACGTTTTGAGTGGTTTACAATACTCCCTGGTGTTGCTTAATAACAATAACAATAAAATTTTAATTTCGTATCCATTTGTACTGATAAATTAGCTTCCGGAAATGTATTAAATAACAATAACAAAGATACCTACTACATAGAAGTTTCTTGGTAACTACGGTTTGTGAAACATTGTTTGGCTGTGTCCACCCCTACGTATGAAAAATAAACAGCTCTTTTTCAATTTTGACCATCAACCCATTTTTAAAAAAATGTGGAATATCTGTTTGTTTTAGCTATAATTTTTTTTTTAATTTAAGGGTATTTATCCCTAATTTTTTTTAACATACAGAATCAATTGCTTAAATTTATCTCATCTAAATTTGCTGGTTGAACACTAAAAAATGTGAAGTATTAATCTCGAAAGTTTGTAACCCATATGCTCAGTGATGTACAAGATACCGTAAATAAAGTATCAGGGATACAAAATTCTTTTAAATTAAATATTTCACATATCAGATGCAATGGTGTCTGAAATACTAGATATAAAATACGTATCTTTTGAATACTTTTTATAGATAAAATGCATTTTTTTAATGGATGATTATTTGTTTACTTGTAAATCGCGTTGATCGTGCAAACGTGACACAACATAATATTATATTTTTAAGGTTTTAATTGCGTAAAACCAGTTCTTCAAACAGTTTATCGCTCATTTTTCTTCGATGAGGCCTCATGGTCATGCTCCCAAATGAGAAGAGTCGCTCCACAGGGGCAGAACTTGGCAAACAGGTGTAGTATTTGAAAAATATTTTTTTTATTGTAGGATAAGTATTTAAGCTCTTTATGTTGGCTAGCTAATACAACACACAACTAAATAAAAGCGATAATTCCCTGTATGTTCTTCTTACCATCTTACCCTTGCTTTTAGTTCTAGAGGGGTATCAACTGGGCGAACATAGTAGGTGTTCATTATGGTTTTCCTGACATCTGAGGTTGCTTATAACTCACATTTTTCGAGAAACCTATTTAGTCAAGAAAAATATTCGTAACTGTTTTTTTTTCAAGACATTCTTTATTTTTTACCGTTGGAGAAGATATTTTGTCTCTCACTCTAAACGCGGTTGTACAACTTTTCCTTTCGAAAGCCATCTCATTTCCGTGTGTAGAAGAAGTGATTGATACTGACTTTCCATATGTTCACATGATTTTTTAAAAAACCTTCACTGCAATACATCTGCTACTAATGCAAGAAGAAATCTATATTTTTGCAATTTGCCACGAGGCGCGTGCGAATAGACACTTCCCACGGCAATTGTATAAAGGGTTGAAATGGAATACAATCGTGCGAAAGGGTTCGTGCGATTGATTGGTTGGTAACGGGTCGTGTTGACCACTTTGACGAGATCTCTGTTTAATATTCTCTTTATATATTCTTATTTTTAATATTAAAACAGTTAATTACTAAATCTATTACTTTTTACACTCTTATACTAATGACATTCTTGAATAACAATAGCTATATTTAAAAATTGCCGTAAATATCTAAATAAATAAGAGTGACATTGCTTTGAGTGATCAGACAGGATCTATGCGTATACAATTATGATAAATAACGTAGAACCTATTTTCTCATTTGGCATCTAGGTTAATTTTTTTAGTGGTCCTCGTCCCTCTGTAAAATGAACCGCCAGGGTTCGGCCTATTATGGTTTGGTCACGAAGGATATTCATTGTTACGGTTAAATACACAGTCAATCTTTCTCGCAGAATTGTGTATATTTTCATTACGCGAAAAAGTTCCGTATCTCGCGGAACCCCTGTGACGCTTCCACGGAATATCAGGGTTCCGCGATACATCTCTTGGGAGCCGCTGCATTAGGCAATTTAGGGAAAGTAAGCCTTGTAAGCGGCGTCCAAACCAATGCAACAAACTACGCAAAACATTTGCTAACATTTTGCAACAGCAATCGGCACATCACGCATGACGTCTTAACAGCTACAAAAATTTGTATTAGTCTGTGTTTGCAAATGTTTCTGTATGCACGCTGCGCTTGAATGACATTCTGACTGTTTATGTAGAAAGCTAAAAAAATGAGTGGAGTTGCAAACAGAGTGCGCGGGATTTAAACTTTTGTGGGATGCACTAAAATAAAAAAAGGAACAGAAATCGTCGTTACTGGATGACTGTAATACAGTAGTCTCTCTCTATAACGATTCTCCCTATAACGATAATTCCCCTATAACGATGTACTTTAACACCGATGTTTGGTCTAACATAAGAACAATGTAATTTACTCTCTGTATAACGATATCGCTCTCTCTATAACGATGTTTTCAGAACAATTGTGTTTGTTTACATGTCAATTTTAAAATAATGAGCGGGTGTTTATTTTCAACTTAACTCGCCCAACGATCAGTTCAATACTCAACGTCTTTTGTTTCCCGTTTTAGGCCATAGTGACGTGTGGCATTGAGCGCCTACCGCCTCTATCAATTGTTTTAGTGTTGCGTGTTTACAGTAAATTGAACTTTTGTGTGTGTACAATTGAAATGCTTCCAACAAAGCGTAAGGTGCTCACTGTCGAAGAAAAGATTTCTTTCATCAAATCAATAGAAAATGGCGAAAAACAAACAGATGTTGTTCGACGTACGGGGATTTCCCAGTCGACTGTGGCTACAATTTGGAAGGATAGGAAAAAGTGGCTTGATGCGGGAATAGAAATGGGAACCAAGAAAAAGATTCGTAAACCTCAGTATGACGATTTAGATCGCGCTATTCTACAGTGGTTTAAACAACAGCGTAACAACCACATTCCACTGTCTGGACCTGTAATCAAAGCAAAGGCGGAATTTTATGCTACGGAGCTTGGCATCGCTAACTTTAAGGCATCTGAAGGTTGGCTGAGTAAGTGGAAGCAGCGTCACAACATAAATTACGGGCAGATTAGTGGAGAGGCTCGTGACGTCGACAAAAACATTACAGACGACTGGCTGCAAAAAGTGTGGCCTGGTATGACAGCTCGATATTCGCCAGAAGATATTTTTAACGCTGACGAAACTGGANCGAATGAGTGCTGCCCTGATGGTGGCATATGGATCAGTCGCCGGGGGGTTGACAATGATATCACGCACTTCCGCCGCATAGTGAGGGTCAAGGTTGCCTAGTACATACCCAAACTTTGTTGATTCGGACGTAACTCCGTAGGCCTCAAAACTGCGGTCGACCATACAAAACCAGAGTTCTGGGTCGGAAGACACGAAGGGTGGCAATTTGACGTCTAGTCGGTCAAGGGACATGGTGAACGGCGGCGTGTTGTGGCAAGATTGGGCGTCACGTTGCGGCTGGTCTGGGCGGTGTTGTTAACTTACATACTGCTTGCCGAGGAGCAGGGTTGCGCTGCTCCGCAGGGTGACCAATGTAGTCCTGATGAGGACTGGCCGGAATGTGTGACGGCGGCAGATCATCCTCAAACGATTGCGGCTGACGTCACCAATCGTAGTTCATCACTAACCATACGTTTGTAGTCGGGGTCACCACTGTGTGTAGTCGTAGCAAGAGGTGACTATCAAAGTTGTGGTTCTGAGAAGAACCGATTTATAATATCGTTGAACACATTATCTGTGTCATTGATGATTGGCACAAAATCACAGCTTCCAAGGGTTGACGCTTTATCAGCGTTCGAATAATAGCGAGCCTAGTGTTAGACTAATTTATTCGAATATTTACAGAGTATTTATACAAATTTATTTACATGGTTTAAATGGCAAAGAACATTTCAGCACTTTACATTTGTGTATGTATTTGCCGTTGACCTAGTTAGTCGCAGTGTGTCGCGACCTAACTAAGTCAGAACAAATGTAGAAGCTTAATTGATACACAACAATAAATGTTTTCTTGCTATACCGAGTGTTCCCACAAACCTAATAACTTAGGCTACTAACCATAGACAAAAACTAATATCTGTCGTCATAGATTAAAGAAATATATACTGTCATAGATGGAAATCTTGATTTTTGCAGAGCCAGTAGATAGAGAGAGTAGCGCAATCGTTTGATCCATAGACATATATTAATGAACGTGCTTTAGCCGTATGTAGTTATAATAATTTCGTGGCTCGAAAAGTGAGGGAGATGTCGTATGGTTTCGGACTAGTGCTATCTCTTTCATGACACGCTTACGCACCATCGTAAAGGACCGTGAAGCTGGCACCACAAAGTCCCGAAAATGAATTTCGAAAATGCCAAAATTAGGGGCTTTTTGGGGGCTAATTTAGTTTAGGTGCTCTTCAAATAAAAAAGTTATTCACGATACAATAATTTTGTGCTACCTGACGTGAAGCTGACACGAAAC